AAATTAAGAACAACCCTAATGCAGCAGTCGAGAACCAATTGATAAATGATCATCCATGTTCCACCAGGTGCTCTTCTTATTTAGATAAAAAACAGTCTACAGATAACTTTCCCTTCCTGGTAGCCTCACGAGGGCAACGAGGACCCTGTAGTTGCCATTAACAACAAAATACTTTGTACTTGAACCTGAAATTGGTTGATATTGGATAAATGAGATTTAGATCTTCGTCTGTGAAAGCGAAGAAGGTGACGACATCTCCTTCAACTATCCACTCGATCAACAGAGAAAAGGTACTTGAATAGTCACTTTGAATATCATTCACTTCGTCATCCTTTACTTTGTTCCAATAGTCCTATTCCTATAATAATCAAACTTGCAAATTTAAAGCTTGAGGCAAAATCAATTTATTGTTCTCTTAAAAGTAGACATAGGTCTAACATTAGGAAGACAAGCAAGCATGCGTTTACCCACATTCTGTTTTTTTGCCTCACTAACACATATGCTTACTTGTTCTTATCATTCAATTTGAGATAGCTTTCAAGACAAATCAAAAACCACCAAAGAAGGGTACTTTTTTTATTATCACATTGAAAGACAGATTCAGATAGAGTTATACCGAACCTTATTTTCGATGCTTGGTAATAGAATTAATAATACGAAAATTCATAAGAGCTTAAAAATGAGCTCAATGAATAGAGTTTTCCTTCCTATTTTCGCTTGATAAAGTTCAATTGTAAACAACCTTCTGTTTTATCTGGTAAATTCGTCATGTCTGGCGATGTAAGATAGAAAAGAACCTTTTGGGACAAGTATTTTATCGTGTATCTCTCAAAAAATAACTGGAACGCATAATCTAAGAAGGATGCAAGAGGGAGTCCATGTTCTATATTGTCACCTTTACAAATTGCTTTTACGCATAGAATGAAAAAAAGGGTTCCTGGGCATTTACGGAAGAAGGCCCTTTTCAGTTGTGATCGGTGTAGATTGAAGAAAAGAGCATGTAAGCGGGAGACAAATGGCAACTCAAAAGCTACAGATGTTGATCTAAGCGTTCCTTGCACTGGATGTGCCAATAGAGGACTTGAATGCAAAACCACTTTACCTCGAAAGAGACGCAGCCATGTTACAGACAAAACTTTAGGCTTGCATTATAAATATTTGTACGCAATCGCTCAAGCGATGCTTCCCAATGTAGATATCAACAATATGGACTATTTGAGGAAAGTTGGCAGCGACATGGGTATAACAATGCCCTCTTTTCTGAAAAAAGGGACTGAAAATGATGAGGAGCTTGCTGATATAGGTCGGTTGATTTCACCAAATTCCGAAAACACTTACTCGAGGTCGCATGAGGAGATTTTTGAAGGCGATAAATTTATATTGGATAATCATGGCGTCTCACATTATGTTGGCCCTATGGGTACAGCTGCGCTATTGGCTAGTACGAGTTCTTTCATGATGGATTCAAACGAAATGTCAACCCTTTTTGCGCTGGAATTTCAAAAAGTATACGAGAGTGACGCAATTGTTAGCTCCACGGCATATTCGAATAGCGATTCGATAAATTCGAAGATTGACCCAACTTCTGATACACCATATGTTCCAGGTTTGCACAAGTCATTTTGTAACACATATAAAGAGGTTTTTTTTGAAAAGCTATATATCTATTATCCTTGTATGAGAAGAGAGCGCTTCGAAGACCTATACGAAAAATTTTGGCACGAAACAGGAGAGTGCAAATATCACGCAGCTGAATTGACTTTAGACCAGATTTGTTGTATCTATGCGGTACTTGTATTAGGATATTGCTATCACAGGCAGTTTTTCTCCTCAGGTTTAGACGATCCTATCATACCACAGCTTCTTAAGAGAATAGTATCGTCAATATCATCCTTGATCCTTTTGCCCACATTAGATGGCATTCTGTCATTATTACTATTGGCCATTTACTATGGCAAGAATAAGAAACGAGAATGTTCATATTTATTATTAGAGATATCTTGCAAGCAAGCTTTGGCAATTGGATTAAGTCGTCAATCAATGATTGAGTGTATTGCTGATGAAAATGTCAAGGATCAAATGAAAAGATTATGGTGGGTTTTATTTCTTCAAGAGGTTAAAATGTGTAAACTTCTTGGTCGGGTATCCTCGGTGTCCTTACAGGAAGTGAATGTCGATTATCCATCGTTTGAGCTGGAGAATGAGGTAGGTGCAATGTTTTTATGTTCAATTAAATTGATTCGTGTTGTTCACCAATTCCCTGAAATTGCGTCCTCTACTTTTGAAGAAAATACTATCAAAACTACTTGCTCTATCATTGACCACGTAGAGAAGTCATTGCTAAAGTGGTACGTTGACTTCGAAAAATGCTTCACAAATGTAAGCAAAAGACAGTCAATTTCTTTCAGATTTCGATTGATGTTAGAGTATCATTACTATCATATTTATCTTTTGTTCGCTTCAATAGTGCATTTATGTGAGAAGAAGACAGCCGTGGAAAAAAAGGTTATCGATCTTGCTGCAAGATGCGTTCACTCTGGTATCAAAATCAGCGAAATTCTTATCGAAGGGGATGCTTACACAATACTCAATTCTTTCTGGAGCCCCCATGCAAATTATGCTTTCCTTTCGACTTTATGTCTCTCCAGAGTATTCATATGGATGCAAAACGTTGGCATAACGTCCTTGAATTATGATAATATTCATATATCGAAGGAGGATATTCAAAAGTCAATGATTTCAGTTAGGGAATATAACAAAGGACATATATTTAGATGGACAGGGTCAAGTGTTAAATTAAGCAAATACACCGAAGTATTGCTAAAGAACTTCAAGTTTATCATAGACAAATCACCTGTGGGAAACTCCGAAATCGGATATGACGCTATCGGTGCTGGTATAGTCAATTCAGAAGCTGAAACAGCAAATCCAGCCAACTCCTCTGCATCACTTGGAATGGCCCCTGTTTCACCGACGACAAGGTGGGATGTCTCGAATGTTAGTAATAGTACTCAACGTATACTAAATCAAAATGAGTTGGCTGATTTTACGTTGGAAAAATTAGAGGGAAGCATGTTTTTTGCGAATGATGTCATGGGTTTGTAAATTGAAATACTTCAGAAATATTAGCTATTAACTAATGGACTATTTAATGATTTCTATCTGCATTTGTCATCTAACTGGCGAAGGCTTCACTTTACCCTATCTACTCACTTTTCTTGAGACTCAGGAATTATTACTTCAATCTCAACTGCTTTATCTAGTTCGCCACTGATAGTGAATTTCTGATCTTTAACGAAAAATGAAAGGAGAAGACATAAGCCGGTCAAGGGAATCCACATAGCAAAAATGTTTTTCATTGATTTCATTAGCAAAACTTTTAAGATAAGCTTTTCATTTTCACTGAACAAGCTCAAATTAGGTCTTGCATAAGCATTGTTGAGTATTTCCAACTTGATGTGTTTTGGTAAGGAATCGTGCAGATCAACGCCATTTATTAGCGTGCTAGTGTAGATTAAGGAACTCATTGCAACACCCACTGAATTGCCTAATGCTCTTAAAACATTTCTTACGCTTAATGCTATTGCTCTATTTTCCTTAGAGGAGTTGGCTTGGACAGCCAAAATTGTTGGTTGAAAAGTGCAGCCAATTGCAATTCCTAGGATCAGTAAATATACTCCAAGCTTGGCCATAGAACTTTCAATTTGAAGGGTAAACATTAACCCGTTCACTAGCGTCCAAAGGAAGAAGCCACACCAAATAACGTAATTATATCCATCAAAGTATCGGATCAAATGGCCAGTTACAGTTGAGATTAGGGTGGTTGAAATGTTGGTTATAGCCAAATACCCACAAGTTGTCATGAGGGGCAATTCTCGTATTAATTCCAAGTAGAAAGGCATATAGTAAAGAACTGATGCCCATACGATACCATAGAGAAAAGCTTGAAGTAACAAGTTTGAAAGAACTAGGCTTTGGAATAGATTGAGAGGAATCATAGGTAATCTAGCAATTTTCCATTCAACCAATAAAAAAATCACCAAAAGAGTGAAACCCACACAAAACATCGAAATTACGATCGGACTATTCCACTGGTAAATGCTTCCACCACCGTTAATAGGAATCAATATCAATATTAAAGACGAAGCAGCAATGAAAGATCCTAAAATATCAAGATTTTTTACAATCTCCATTTTTGAAAAAGGTGAAGATGCTGTGGGCAATATTAAAAAGTTCAAGAAGCATACAAGCAAGATCGAAGGGCACATGAAAAAGTAGAAAGATCTCCAGGTCTTCTCTGTGTGAACAATAAACCCACTCATTATGAATGGCCCAAGAGCCAAGCCGAGACTGATGGACGAACCTAATATTCCTTGGAACAAACCTCTTCTCTCTAAAGCAACCACATCACTTAATGTAATAATTGGTATCGAGTTTAAACCTCCATTGCCTATTCCTGCTAACCCTCTCAAGATGAAGAACTGATAGTCCTTCTTAACGAAGCCAGCTGCTAGGTCACAGAAGGCCAAAATTACTCCGCTGCCAACTAGAACATACTTTCGACCGAAGATATCACACAATCTTCCAGTCCATACTGTGAAAATGGCGTTAGACATCAATAAAGCAGTTCCTGCCCACTGAATAGTTCTCTCTGCTTTCAAGTCTTTGGATATGTATGGTGATGCAATTGTCACTGAGATCGAGTCAACCATGTTCAAGAAACAACAAAAGGCTAGCGTTATGGCAATGGGTATCAACTTGTTTAATGGAAGCACTTTCTCGTGTCTATCTAGCTTCGATTCTAAATGGTTTTTCATGATATATTGAGGTTCAAGGGGCTTCTATTTGCTGAAGTTGAACATCATGTACAGCGAGTTCTTTGCCTTTTTGTTAATTAACCCAGATCTATTTTTCAGTGTAACTCTCTTATCTCCATCCATATACTCTTCATTGCGTTGGAAATCTGCGGATTTTCGAATGCCACTTTCCGCAATGTTGATTTTTTGAAATAGAAAATAACGACGAGCAGAAAGTGATTGCAGGTGGCAATAACATGATCCGCACTGTTCGTTACCCGAAGATTGGCACTAGGGTTTATTTCGATGTCATGAATACATTTTGTGGGTTAAAAGTGTGATAACTGGAAAATGTAAATTTATTACTATATTTATATTCTAAGTATAATATTTCAAATTCGGAGGTCTTTGCTCTGATACCGAGATATAACCCTTTTGTTCTTTAATTGTCATTTGTTTGAGCTTCAACAAAGCATATAGCACTTTCAATATGGGAGCCTCTACTTGTAAATCGTCTGCTACCTTGATGACGTTGCCTAAAATGACTTCCAATTCTACGGGATTGCCCTTTCGGACGTCATCAAGCATTGAAGGCACAAAATAAATTCCATCATCTCCGTGACCAACAACATTAACGACATCTTCAGGCAATTCACAGCCATCAGCCTTGGCGATTGCAACGACTTCTTTCATTGCCGGAATTGAGATTTCATCCAAGCCGCCCCATAACTGAAGTCTACCTGTATCTACATTGGTCAAAGCACAAACAGTATTTAAGGACGCATTATAGACCAATTTTCTATATCTGTACCATCTTTCATCGGGAAAGTACTCGGGATCATTTTTCTCATTTTTGTAGATTGAAATAAAGGCCTTTGTACTTCTTTCTTGCAAATCTTCAGGGAGACCAGGATTGTTGAAGTAACTGATCTTAGCCCTGTCATGTTGCGCATGTTTAATAAAGCCATTTTTATTGTGAGAACCACAATGAGATACCCCAGAGATAATAACGTTCTTGGGATATTTCTCATATAATGGTTTACCGATATCAAAACCATTTTGCATCAAAACTATTGCCGTCTTTCCGGCTGTTACCACTGGCTCAATCAAATCCTCGACTTTGATTATATCTGCAATATTTTTTGTTGCAACAACCACAAAATCGTACTCAATTTCACTCGTGGCTGCTTCGTCTACCGTTTGATATAAGTGTTTAGGTTTCCAGCTATCAATCGCACCGTAATCAACAGAATCAATCCGAAATCCCTCATCTTTAACTTTCTGGTAGTCACTTCTCACAACTAAACTCAACTCAGATGTACCATTAATATAGATTCCGTAAGCTACAACAGCACCAATGCCTCCAGTACCGATCAACAAAGTTTGAAGAGCCATTTTATGTTTCACGAAACTTGAAATTATGAGAAAGGAATTACAATCTATGACTGAGATAGCAGAGATACCGAAGCTTATAAGAAGACCTAAAAAAGCTTAGGGTGTGCGGAAATAGTTGAGAAAAATCCGCAGTTTTACGAGATTGAGTCTTAAATCGAAAATAATGTCGAGCGATAAGATGTGTCACCGTTTGGAAATGAGCGCGCAACTTCTTATCAGTCTTTTTTATTTTTGGGTGGATTTTGGGCTATTGTTTTCCGCAAAAGATCTTCAATATGATGTTGTGAAAAATTGTGATATCTATATATTGAGAGCTGATTTGGCTGGTCAGCAGTTACTCATGAGAATATAATTTTACTTCAAGGTCTATACTTTACATCGTTCTTTCTACGAGATTCGTCTTCAGAAAGACTTTTACTAATTGAAAGACAATATATATTGATCATCCTAATATTTACTTGCTAAACATAATATGGAAAATAAGACTGCTGATAGTCTGAGCCTAGAGAACAACTCTGAGGTGCAGCAAAAGAACGGCGAAGTGTTGATCACAGTGTTATCAACGAATGGACGAGAAATACCAGTCTCAAGCGAAGGAGTTGACTTAGCGTACGAATATGCCCAAAAAAATGATAATGCAACCTTTGATCCGAAGATTGAAAAGCAATTAGTGAGGAAAATTGATTGGATGGTTTTACCATTGATTGTAGGTTTAATGGCGTGTCAATTTTTGGATAAGACCACAATATCATATGCTTCAATTATGGGTATAAGAACCGATTTGAACATGGTTGATGGGCAAATGTACTCTTGGGTTGGTTCTTCATTTTATTTTGGATATTTGGTGTTCCAGCCACCAGCAAACAGAATATTACAGAAATTTCCAATTGTGAAAACTTTAGGAGTGGTGGTTATTTTATGGGGTATTATCTTGTGCTGCCACAGTGCTTGTCGTACAGCTCCTGAACTTCTAGTTGTTCGTGTATTACTAGGTTGCTGTGAAGCATTTATGTTTCCAGCATATATTCTACTTACTGCTCAGTGGTATAAAAAGGATGAGAACTTCTTGAGATCTAGTATTTACATTGGATTTCAAGGGTTAGGGAGTATTTTTGGTTCAAGTTTGAGTTATGGATTATATATTCGTTCTGATGAGTATTCGATACCTTCTTGGAAAATTTTATTCATTGTGACTGGTGTCATCACAATTCTTTTAGGTGCCATATCTTTAATTCATTTGCCAAACACTGCGTTGGATGCATGGTTCTTGAATGATGAGCAAAAGAGTTGTGCCGTGGAACGTATTAGAACGTCTCATCAAGGTTTTGGAAATTCGAAATTTAAATTTAGTCAATTGAAGGAAACCCTCTTGGATATTAGAGCCTATTTGGTGTTTATTTATGCAATGTCTTACTGCATTCCCAATGGTGGTTTTGGAAACTTTAGTTCAATTCTTTTAAGTGAAGATTTTGGTTTTTCTACTGGAGATGCTTTATTAATGGGCATGTGCGGCGGTGCAATTGACATGTTGACAGCCCTAATCGCCTGGGTCGGACCTATGATCTGTAAGAGCAACTTAATTATTTGTCTTGTAGTAAACTCAATCTGTCTTGTGGGTACTTGCTTATTAGCTTTCAGTCATGATAGGGGTGCTAAATTATTTGGATATCTAAGTTTTTACTTAGCGACTGTAGTCCTTGCAGGAATGTCTTCGTATAACTCAATCAATTTTGCCGGAACTACAAAAAAAAGCATAATTAATATCTTTTATTTCGTGGGCTACTGTGCTGGTAACATCGTTGGACCTCAAACTTATCGAAGCCAACAGGCACCACAGTATATTGGAGCTAAAGTTGCAATGGTTGTTGCGTTTATAGCCGGGAACTTATCAATTGCTGCGTTATACCTCATGGGCTTGAGAGAAAACCACAAACGTGACAAAGTACAAGCTAGTCAGCCTACAGAAAAAAATGACTTCCTCGATCTCACTGATAAGGAGAATATTAATTTTAGATATACATTATGAATTTAGACCTTCAGAAATAGCGAATACTTGAATGTAAATTTTATAACCCAAATATACTTTGTTACTAAATCAAATTCATCTTGAGAGGAACTAGTTCTATCTATAGCATGATACATGTTTGCAGTTATTTATTACAGTAAAAGTTGGTTTTAATAACTCTAAATTTATTAAATAATACCTTGGAGTGCTACAGAATATTGTTCAAAGGAGAAAAAATACATATATTTCCAGTCTTCTATGTGGGGGTTACTAAGATATTCTGATACAGCTTTGCATCAGACTAAATAAGATTTAAAATCGACATCACTCAGCGCATATGGCGACGCAATCCAATTCAATTTTAATCTTGTCGTTGGGGAACTTAACACTAACGCAATACCTTGCTGGCTTACTGGTGAAATACTTTTGATAGATCTCATTCACCGTAGTACTGTATTTAATATCACTAATAAATAGAGACACCTTGATAACTTCTTCCAAAGAGGAGCCTGCAGCAGCGAGAGTCGTTTTCAAGTTTTCAATAGCTTGTATTGTCTGCTCTTGAATTGAATCTTTGTATGTATTATTTTCATAGTCAATTCCTACATTTCCAGAAGTGAAAACCATGCGGTTAAACTTGAATGCTGCGGAGCTCAAAGCGGTTGGTCTGTTAAGTTGCTCATTACTGATTGCGATGCTCATTTTTTTTAAACTGAATTTTGCTTTTTATAAGACATTATAAATCTTATAGGTAATATGGGAGCCCTTTTATGGTTTCGCTTCCATTATAGTCTTAAGTTTTTCAAAGTCATAAATAATGCGGAAATCGTACATCATATTTCCGCATCCTTTATCGCACGATCTCCACCCGCGGCATCATTAGGTGAATTTCCGCAACCCAATCGATGATGATTTAACAAAAGATAAGTACGATGTGCTTCTTGAGCAGCTGAAAATTACACTACAACGAACTGAATAAATGGGACATTTGCTTAGAAGATCACAGTTGACACCTGAATTATTGGTTGCAAAATATGCACTGGGACCATATATCAACACCGAGTCAGGGAGGAAGATCATAGACGCTTCTGGAGGTGCAGCTGTTGGCTCCGTGGGAGCTTCTACACCTGAAGTGGTGGCCGAAATTGTCGCCCAGTATTCGAAGATACAGTATGTTTCGCCTTCGATATTTACAAATGAGCCAGCTGAAAAGCTTGCAAATGAGATTATAACCGATAGGTACGACAGAATGGGCTATTCTAAAGTCATGTTTGTAAATTCAGGATCTGAGGCTAATGAAAGTGCCTACAAAATTGCCAGACAGCATTTTTTTGACAAGAATGAGACAGAAAGAGTCAATACCATCACCCGAGATATCGCTTATCATGGAAATACAGTGATTGCATTGCAGTTGTCAAGTATATCAACTAAGAAAGAGCCATTCGAAGACATCGTGCAATGTCAGAAATTTCATCAAGTAGAAGCACCTCATCCGTTTCACCGCAAACGAAAAGGCGAATCGGATATAGAATACCTGGAGAGATTGGCAGAGGAATTAGAATCAAAATTTCAGGAGTTGGGACCCTCTACAGTTATGGCTGTTTGGTTCGAGTCATTTTTAGGGACTACTGGAGGATGTGTTAGACCTCCAAAAGGTTACTTCGAAGCTGTGCGGAGCATTTGCAATAAATTCGGAGCCATATTTGTAGTTGACGAGGTTATATGTGGCTCTGGACGATGTGGAAAGCACTTCTTTGCTTGGGAGCATGAAATCGAGGAAAGTAATGGGAACGAAGATTATCTTAAGGTTCAGCCTGATTTAATTACCTTTGGAAAATCAATTTCTGGAGGGTATGCTCCCTTGTCAGGCATTGTGATTCATAAGAAGTTCTTTGACAAAGCAGAGACTACATCAAAAGTATTTAACTCCGGCCATACATTTCAATCTCACCCAGTATCCTGTGCTGCTGCCCTAGCAGTTCAAAGGTATATAAAGAGACACAATCTTTTGAATAATGTTGAAAAGATGGGCCAATACTTAGGAGAGCAGTTAAAGGAGCAAACAAGAGACTTGAAATGTGTTTTGGATGTTAGAGGAATCGGCTTCTTTTGGGCAGTTGAGTTAGTGAAAGACAAGAAAACAAGAGAACCTTTTCCATTAGATTACAATTTCGCCACTATAGCGTACAATTGTATATTGAATCATGGCGTAGCGGTTTATCCTGGAAGGGGCACCATCGATGGTCTCTATGGTTATAGCTTTATGGTCTCACCTGCGTTCACTTCTGATAAGGATTTGTTGGACAAAATCGTGAGTGCTATCAGAATGGGGCTTGAAGATGCCCTGGCCATGCAAGAGATGTGATTTATATGTTTTTTTTCTTTTTAATAAATGTGATATACTAGACAAAAGCTGGGGTTCTCAAAGTATATGAATTTTAAAATTTATACATCGCTAACTTAACCAATGTTATACAAAAATTTTTTCCGCTTCACATAACGAAAGCTTCAACTTTGATACTATATCGTCGATAGTTTTATCATCAACATTGTAATTCGGTGCTAACAAAATGTGATCTCCATTGATTCCATCGATAGTTCCATGACATGGCATCACTATGAGACCGTTCTTCATACATATAGCAGCAAGCTTGTCACAAAATCCCAATTCTGGATCAAAAGGAGTCCCCGAGGCCTTATCTTTCATGAACTCAATACACCAAAACATACCTTTACCTCTAATATCAGCTGCGATATTAGAGTCTCCTATATTATCTTTCAAGCTCTTTTCAAGTTTATTCGCCATTTCATTGATGTTTTTGTAAAGATTATTATCTTTGATATATTTCTGTACAGCATAACCTGCTGCACATGACATAGGATGGCCCTGATAAGTATGGCGACTCATAAAGGAACCACTTCCATTTTCGAGGCCCTCGACTATGTTTTTTTGAACTACAATACCAGATAAGGGAAGAATACCACTTCCAATTGACTTTCCAAAGGTCGAAATATGCGGGACAACTCTGCTCCAGTTATCTTCATCAGTCAATTGCTCCCAAGCGAAAAAAGAACCCAATCTTCCAGAGCCACACATAACCTCATCCATTATCAACAAAGCACCATACTTTTCACAGACTTCTTTTACCCCTTCAAAGTAGCCCTTAGGTGGCATGACACAGCCACATGACCCTCCACTCATGGTTTCTGCAATAAAGGCTAAAACACTGTCGGGACCAATCTCTTGAAATTTATCGTCAAGCTCCTTAATCAACCGAGCACAGTACTGTTCTTCGCTTTCATTCTTACCTTTGTAGTGAAAGCTGAAAGGAGTACCGACCTTATGAAACGTGGACTTATCGAACATGTCCTCATAATCCTTATTTCTGTACTTGTGCCCGCTCATTGACATTGTTCCAAGCGTATTTCCATGGTAAGATCTATCTCTGGAAATGATTTTCACCCTTTCTGGTTGGCCTATTTCCACAGCATACTGTCTCGCAAGTTTGCAGGCAGATTCATTGGCCTCCGATCCAGAATTATAAAAGCAGACTTTGTCTAATCCAATCTTTTCATATTTTGGATTGTCTAGCATGATCTGAGCTAACTTTTCGCCAGCATCTGAAGTAAAAATAGATGTATGAGCAAATTGCAATGATTTGAGCTGTTCAGCAACAGCATCAATTACAACCTGGTTCGAATGCCCAACGGCAGTAACAGCAGCGCCACCCACGGCATCTAAAACTTTAGATCCATCCTTGAGATAGATGTAAGATCCCTCTGATCTTGCAGCCAATGCTGGCTCAGTCTTTAAGTTTCGATGAAGTACCTTAGTTTGCATTTTGGAGAAATATAATCTCTTTGAATCACGAAAATGTGATCTTTAATATACAACCAGAAAGAGAGGTCGCCTGTTGTGACATCGTAAGTTGCCAATCTAGATAAGGCTTTCTTGAGAATTGATAATTCGCGGAACAGGGTGTTTCTATTTCCGCATTATTTAATAAAAGTCAATGGTTCATGAAATCTCGTGATCAGCCTTCCGCATTCGAAAAGTGCATTACCAGAAGTTCCTAGCGACTATTTTGACACAAATCCTTATCTGTTTGCGGAAATTCACTGACCTGCTTCCGCACTGGATATATATAACAAGAGAATATGAAATGTCAAAAATGAGGCCGTCTACGGTCCCGTCAGCATCAGCAGTGCTTGAAAAATGTTGATTTCAAGCTCAACAAGAGTCCTCACACAAAAAGCAAAGCATCATGCTATGTTGAAGACCACATCGTGGAGGTACTTATCAGGATCGTCCACACCCAAGCTCATCAAACGAGGAAGATATGTCGAATTATCAGTCGCATGCGTCATTGCAGGAATCACAGTTAATGAATACTTGAAATTTCGTTGTCAAAATACGGTTAAACTGGATTCGATAGAAAGTGCTCCACGGAAGATATCGACTTTGCAACTTTCAAAACATTGCCTACCAGAAGATCTTTGGGTTCGTATCGGGGACGCTATTTACGATTTGACAGACTTTATCTCCTGGCACCCTGGAGGGAAGGACATAATTATGCAGTTTGCTGGAAAAAGTGCAACTGATGCTTTTATGAAGCAACACAGCAAGAGATTCTTGGAAATGTTACCTCCAGAAGCGTACATAGGCAAAGTCGATCTTACTCAGCAGGAACTTGATCATGAAAGAATAGAAAGAAAGAATCTGTCGACGAAAAAATATGAATTAGAAAATAAAGTTGTTGTGGAGAACAAAAATGAAGAAGAAGCTTCGATCAATGCGAGTGTATTTGAAAAGCCCCCTTTAGAATTAATGTTCAATGTCAATGACTTTGAGGCGGTAGCCAAAAAGATTTTGCCTAGTGATATCTATATGTATTTTGCTACAGGCTCGGATGATGAAGCTACATTGCGAGAGTGCCATTTAGCCTATAGCAGGATCTTCTTCAAACCTAGGATTTTAAGAGATACGAATGACGTTGATACATCCGCCACACTAATTGGTACGAAAGCTTCGCTTCCCTTATATATTACTGCCTTTGCTGGGCAGTCTTACTTGGATGAAGACGCGGATATGGCTTTAGCGAAAGTAGCCAAGAAGAAGGGGATCAAATTCATGTACTCCAGACTAGGAGCTTATCCTGTGAAAGAGATGTCTACATTTTTTGGTAATACCCCATTCTGGTGCCAGGTTTGTGTCCATTATGGAGATCCTAAACTAAAGAGTGCCATAGAGGAGCTTAATAGATATGATAACATAGAAGGTATTTTCATCACCACAGATGCTGCTGCTGGTGGAAATCGAGAAAAAGATTTCAAAACCAGAGCTCAGGAAGCTTCAAGACCTGAATTGGCTAAATTTGCATCCCCTGTCAAGCCGTATCCGTCTATAACATGGGAAGATATAGTCGAAGTTAGAAAGCTCACCAACAAGGCGATAATCTTAAAAGGGGTTCAATCAGCAGAAGATGTGTTACTTGCAGCTGAAAAGGGCTTAGATGGGGTCGTAATAAGTAATCATGGAGGCAGGCAATTGGACTATTCACAACCTCCCCTCGAAACCTTAGCGGAAGCCATGCCCCTACTTCGTAAACAAGCTTACTACAATAAGGAAAAGTTTCAGGTATTCATAGATGGTGGTGTTAGAAGAGGAAGTGATATTTTGAAAGCAGTGGCCCTAGGAGCATCAGGTGTGGGCATGGGTAAAGGCTTTGCATTTGCAGTTGCAAGTTATGGTGAGAAAGGAGCAGAGAAGTTATACGACCAGTTAAATCTGGAGGTGATCCGAGATATGAAACTACTCGGGGTCAGTAACACCATGATGCTCAATCAAGGTTACCTAAATATGAAAGGATTCTACAATAGAGTTGGCAATTATGATGATTCTTACTTCAAAAACTATGAGGCTTTGCCGCTGCCATTTCCAGGAAGATAAGTCAATCGAATTGCAACCTTGAGTAATTTGCATCTGTTCTATAACAACAAATTGACTTTTAAACTCCTTTCGAAGTACTTTGAAATTTAAATAGAAACTAGAACATTGTACTTCAAAGAATTTTGAATAGCAAATTCCTTGATAGAAAACAAAATTAAAGCATATTTGTGTCTATATTTGATGAGACAGTGACTAAATGAGTGTCCTATTATGTACTCGCTTCTTCTTATTCGATTAGTCAAGTTGCTTCTTCTACTAATAATCCGACTACACTAAAATTTAAAAAACTTTCATTAAAATTTGAAAAAAATTATGTATTTTAAAAATGAAGACGTATCCTATCTAGGGCAAACAGAAATGGTCTGACTTCTAAGTTCAATGTAGTATATAGAAACGACAATCATGCGGCTTTATTGTCATAATTTATTCATATCATCCAACTATCTAGAACTTTAAGATATCTGAAATTAACGGCTGGTCCATGCATTCCAAGAGCAAGGTCTTTAAAATACCAGAAG